TATATATATATATATATAAATTTATGTCGTTGTATTATCTGGGAATAGTGTGGGTATATTTTCGAATCCTGTGAGTATTTCTGTTTTATAAGATCTGTGTATATTAATTAATTTATTTTTTGCTGCTGCAGATACACTGCAGTTTACAGCTTGTATTATATGTATAGATCCAGCAATAGGTACAGTAGCGATGAAGGAATTTGTATAAGCTTTATTTATTTCTATTGCTAATAAAATATAACCATAATATAAACAATCATCCACTATAGCTTTTATCTCTTCTATACTATCCAACATATTCATACTCACACGCAACCCCACACGCCAGGGCAAAGAAACCTCAACACTAGTACCCTGGCGAGCTTCACGGGGGCCAACCTCTAGCTGAACACAAAACCCTAAACCCTAAACCCTAAACCCTAAACCCTCGGAATACAAACCCTAGAATAAATGCATGAAAGTTGAATACAAAAAAAATTAAAAACGCAAAACAACTAATGATCAAATTACCCTAATACATATACATAACAACACAAACCACACCAACTCTAAACCCTAAACCCTAAACCCTAAACCCTAAACCCTCACCTGGTTGTCTGGTTGAGAGAAATAAGCCCAAGGGTGGTTTGTTGGTGTCGCAAATTTCTCGCGGTGCCGAAACGCCAGCTGGTCGCTATCCAGTAAGGTTCCTGCATCAAACCCTAAACCCTAAACCCTAAACCCTAAACCCTAAACCCTAGACTCCAAACCCTAGCTGCTAGCCCTGTCTTCCTCACCTGTATAATATTTAGTGTTTAGGGTTTACGACTTCCTATATATATATATATATATATATAAAGTTCTATAAACTTGAGGGTTTAGAATGAGGGTTTAGGGTTTAGTGTCCCCCGACGTAATAAACTCTTGAGGGTTTAGAATAAGGGTTTAGGGTTTAGGGTTTCCATACCCCCATGATAGAGTATACACTGTCTGGACGCCCCAATAGGATAATAATAAACACTAAACTCCTCGATAAAAAAAGATAAAGAAAAAGAAGATGAATTGTGTAAGCGAAAAAAAAAACGCAAAGAACCACCAACCAGCAGCTCATCCCCATCAGCATCCACTTGAAATATACCCGCTGATGCTGCACACAAACCCTAAACCCTAAACCCTAAACCCTAAACCCTAGACACTAAACACTAGGGTGGTGGTATATAGAGAGAGGCTTATTTATGTAGATAGATAGAATAGAGACAGGGAAAATGTATAGTAAAAGGATGTATGGAGAAAACTATAAACCCTAAACCCTAAACCCTAAACCCTAAACACTTTATGAGGAGGTTAGGGTTTAGGGATTTCTGCTAGGCGGGTTAGAATCTAGGGTTTAGAGCTAGGGTTTAGGGTTTAGGGTTTACTGGTGTCTTCTAGGTCTGCCTCAACAGCCCGCAGATGAGGGGTGGATATATAAATACCCAGAAAGCAACCTGCAGCCACACAAACCCTAAACCCTAAACCCTAAACCCTAAACCCTAGCCGTAAACCCTAGACCCTAAACCCGACGACTAACCCTCAATCCTAACGATATGCTCTAGGTTTAACCCCTCACTCTAAACCCTAAACCCTCGCTCTCAACCCAAACCCTAAACCCTAACCCCAAACCCTAAACCCTAGCCCGAAACCCTAACCCCAAACATACATTCAGCGTAAACCCTCAACCACTTACCTCCTATTGCACAAGAAAGAAAAAGCAAAGAAAGAGTAGCAGTATAACACGAAAGAATAAACAAACGAGAGGGGCCCCTGCGGCGCTGCTTTTCAGGGGGGCCCCCCAAACCCTCGCCAGCTGTACCCTCCGCTTCCTGCGGCTCAAGGGGTTCACCTGGGGGCCCCCAAGGGGCCCCCGGGGGCCCCCTCTCGCCTCCAACTCGACGCTGCCGGAGACTCATACACAGCTAAACCCTAAACCCTAAACCCTAAACCCTAAACCCTCGCGCGTAGCTCATAAGCAAGGGGAGAGAAACGCAGGTAGACGTCCACGCAGTAGTCAGCAGCGCACAGGGATGCTCTCAGAAAGCGCTTGCAAGGGTTTAGGGTTTAGGGTTTAGGGTTTAGGGTTTAGCTGTCGAGTGCTCGGCGTTGTGCTTATAGAAGACACAGGGGGCCCCCCGAACCCAGGGGGGCCCCCAAAACAAAGGGAGGCCCCCTCAACCCAACCCTAAAAAGCAGTACCCTGCAAGGAGAGCAGAGAGCTGCAACTAGGGTTTACAGGTTAGCCGATTAGGGTTTAGGGTTTAGGGTTTAGGGTTTAGGGTTTAGCAGCCGCTCGCCGCCCCCCTGCGGTATGAACCGGCGGGAGCGAGCAGCGCGTTTGTACTTTTTAGATAGAAAAGAAGAAAAAAAACAAATTTAAATTATTTATTTTGTTTAAACAACAAAAAGAAAAAAAAAAAAGAAAGGACGGGGGGGCGGCCGACACCGCCAGCCGTTCATTCAGTTGAGGTGCCTATACACCTGAAAAGCCACCGAAATACTGCTGCAGTCTTCTCCCTATATATTTAAAATAAATAAAATTTTATTTAATTTTATTTATTAATTTTATATTTTTAATGTCTAATCAATAAACCTTTTTGTTTGTAGTCGCTAGACAGAGCAGCAACTGCCTTACGCCCGCCTCAGCTAAACCCTAAACCCTCACAAACCAAACCCTAAACCCTAAACCCTAAACCCTTAACAGCGCTTCAATTTTGGGTGTACAGACACCTCAGGCGCTAATCAGAGATAATGGCAACGCACGCAAACAAACCCTAAACCCTAAACCCTAAACCCTAAACCCTAGACCATCAAAACAGAAACACAAACAAACCCCGGAGAGCCAGCCCAGCCAGCTAAATCCCTCAAGCTCCAATACAGTAGGAACAGCAGCAGCAGCAGCAGCAACAGCAGCAGCAGCAGCAACAGCAGCAGCAAGGAAAAGCTCTTAAAAACAAGCTGCAAGTCACCAGGCAGTCAACTCCCTCCCCGCTGACATTTTCTTCTCGCCGCTGCTTGGGCTCATCCCTGTCTAGCTAGCTGTAGCTAGCTGTAGCTAGCTGTAGCTAGCTGGCTAGCTACAGAGCGACCCCAGCTAGCTACTGGCTCGCTAGCAGCTAGCTTTGCTAGCTGCAGCGTTCGACGGGCCGCAGCCATCAGGCCGCCAGCTCGAACCACTGAAAATCCCCTATCAAAAACAGCTAGCTAGCTAGTTAGCTAGCTAGCTAGCTAGCTAGCTAGATAGCTAGCTAGATAGCCAGCTAGATAGATAAATAGCTAGCTAGCTAGCTAGCTGTTAGCTGGCTAGATGGTGCGAAGGTGAGGTGTTTGAGGCGCTCATATTTGCCTCCTTTAAACGTCGACGTCAGCAGGACCCTGGCGAGCTCGCTAGTCAGCTAGCTAGCTAGCTAGCTAGTTAGTCAGTTAGCTAGCTAGCTAGCTAGCTAGCTAGCTGGTATAGCAACCTCCGCCGGCTAGCCGCGCAGATGACACTCAGCATGTGTTCAGCTAGCTACGGGTGCAGAACCCTTACGTGCCAGCTAGCTAGCTAGNGCCAGCTAGCTAGCTAGTATACATATACTCGGGTCTGAACCAAGTAGCTAGCCAGCTAGCTAGCTAGCTAGTCAAGGATCAAGAGAGAACCGTCGGCAAGCGGAACCGCATCCTGTTGTTCAGCCTCCAGCATCGACAGCGACTGAGAGGCCCCTTCTGCCCCCTGCAGCAGCAGCAGCAGCAGCAGCAACAACAGCAGCAGCAGCAGCAGCAGCACATGTCATGAAGCAAAGGCATTAGGAGTAGCAATAGCCGCAGTACAGCCAACAGCAGCAACATTTGCTGCTGCACAAACAGACACCAGCTGAGAATCCTGAAACCCTAAACCCTAAACCCTAAACCCTAAACCCTACATGTTGGTGGGGGAGAGGCCCCTGCGGCTCCGGCAGCAGCACGTCGAGCTGCGTCCCGTCCTCCAGCTCCAGCTCCTCGCTGCCTAGACACCGCAGCAGCAGCAGCAGCAGCAGCAGCAGCAGCAGCAGCAGCAGCAGCAGCAGGTGACGTAGCCGCTGCCTTCCTTCTCTGAGGGTTTAGGGTTTAGGGTTTAGGGTTTAGGGTTTAGGGTTTAGGGTTTGAAGGGTACCTAGCTGGGTGTTGTGTTCGATTCTGTCTCCGTCAAGAGTAAAGACAATGAAGGGGCAGCAGCAAACAGGCAGAGATATTGCTGCTGCTACTGCAGCAGCAACCTCCCCCACCGTCGCTTCCTGCAGCAGCAACAGCAGCAACAGCAGCAGCAGCAGCANACTGCAGCAGCAACCTCCCCCACCGTCGCTTCCTGCAGCAGCAACAGCAGCAACAGCAGCAGCAGCAGCAGCAGCAACAGCAGCAAAAGCAGCAGCAGCAACAGCACTGGCAATAAAAGCAATCAGAAATTCACTGCAGAAATACTGGCTGCGGCACTCTCCTACTGCTGCTGCTGCTGTTGCTGCTGCTGCTGCTGCTGCTGTTGCTGCTGCTGTTTCTACTGCTGCTGTTGCTGCTGCTGCTGCTGCTGCTGCTGCTGCTGCTCACCCGTGGCAGTTTGACGTTGCTGAATTTTTTGTTTTTCTCCTCAGAGCCGTCGCGCCGCAGCACCGCCAGCCTCACGCTGCAGCAGCAGCAGCAGCAACAGCAACAGCAGCAACAGCAGCAGCAGCAGCAGCAGCATAGCTTGCAATAGTGCAGCAAATAGCCACACCAAACAACCAAGCAGTATCAGC